AAAAGATGATATCAAACTTAAATAAAGAACAGCAAAAGACAAGAAAATAATCAGAAAGGGACCAAAAGCTCGAATAATTACATACAAATCAGTTTGCCTCTTTTTTTCTGTTTTATTACTCAACATTTTGGTCATTTTGTGTCTTGTTTTGATAGTTTCTAAGTATTTTGTCCCTTTTTCTGATCTTTTGCTCAAAAACTTTGATCATTTTCTATCTAACTATTGGAGTTTTGATCCCATTTGTGATCAATTTCTTGTCTTTTGCTGTTCTTTTTTTCAGTTTTACGTCTTTTTTTGACATTTTTAATCAGTTTGCCTCTTTTTTCTGTTCTTTTGCTCAAAAACTTTGATGATTTTGTGTCTGTCTGATCAGTTTTTGGTCTTTTACTGGAATTTTTAGCACTTTTTTGTCCTCTTCAGTCCCCCCTGCATCCTCAGGTGCATCCTGCAGCCTTTTCTAACGTTTTTTGTTTTGTTTTTTTGTCTTCATTCTGGGTTTGTTTACTTCCCATGGCTCCTCTTTAGTCTCAGATCCTGTTCATTACACAGTTCAGTTAATTTTTTTCTCCCTATATATTCGGTCTGTCTGCTTTTCGGGGTTTATCCTCACAGATACATGAGGAAACCTGATAAAACCTCTGTTCACGTTCTGATTCTACAGGTTTAAAAACGTTCAGAATCAGACCTCTGCTCAGGTTAAGATTTGCTTTCGACGCCCCAAAAAACGAAGCAAAAAAAAAAGATTTATTCATCACTTTTTCACCTCTGGAGCCAGAAAACGGGGCCGTGTGGAGACTCTCGTTTGAGATAAATTATGCAGATTAATGGAGGAATTACAACATGTGAGGGGACACCCAGGGTGCCCCCCCCCCCCAATTAGAGCTGTGAAAGGGCGCCATTTTAAGGGAGGTGCTGGGAACACTGGGACCAGTCGAGCCAAAAAAACAACCCACCAGCAGAGCTGACAAAGCCTGAAAGCCCCCCCCACACCATTTAAAACGGCCCTTTTGACTCCCACAATGAGGAAAAGAAGCCTTTTGTGTGTTTTAACAGGCAGAAATGTCGTTTTAAAGGTGAAATCAGCATTTTTTCTCCCTAAAACAACTTAAGTTGTTAAGCTCAGTTGGATGTTGGGGGGTTAAAGGGTTTGTGTTTGATGGGGGAATTGATTTATTTTAAATCCAAAGCGTCACTAAAGGCGTCAGCGAGCCCAAACAGACAAATAAAAATAAGCCGAAACGACAAAAGGAAGCTGAATGAACAGGGAAATAAAGGCTGAGGGCCAGAAAACATTCAGTTTGGCTCCAAATCCACAAAAAATCTGTGGAACAGATGAAAAAAACCCAAAACTGGCTTCACGCTTTCACACCAACTGATCAAATTTGGCACTTTCAGGCTTTTCTGGACAAAGTTTCCATGAAAAAGGTGAGAAAGTTTCACGTTTAGCTGCTTAACAGTGAGGCTCTGCGCCTTTCGGGACAAAATACGGCAAATAAAAAGAGCTGAAATAAAGTTTCTGTCCCACATTTATTTTAAAAAGTTTGTGAAATGTTTTTGAAATTTACAAAACTAGAAAATAATCAAAAACAGACTTCAAGAACAGACACAAAGTGACCAAAATGTGGTGAAAAAGAGCTTAAAAAAAGGGACAAAATTAAGATAAAATAACCAAATAAAACACAAAACTGCAATTAAAGACGATACAAAATGTCTTGAAAGATAAATAACTGAGCGACAAAGTGATGAAAATATGTCAAAAGATTACACAAAACTGACAAAAAGAAACAGCAAAAGACAAGAAAATGATCACAAATGGACCAAAAGCTACGGAAATTAGACACAAATCACCAGGATATTGAGCAAAAAGATCAGAAAAAGGGACAAACTGATCAGAAAATGACAAAAGACCAAAAGAAAATGCAAAAAGAATGAACAGAAGATCAGAAAGA